TCCCTCAACTGGTAGTTGACGCTTGTGATTCCCCAACAGGTCTACTATTCTAAATGGCCAGTAATAGGGTATACTAGCCCCCTGAGTGGGGTTTTTTTTTTTTTTCCTCAACCTCTGTATGAAATATTGAAAGGATGTCCCTTCATCATTTGCTTGGCCTCTCAGCTCTTCACACATGCTGGTAGGAACTATTTAGTGAATGACATTAAATGTCAAAAATAATAGCTGTGTGTTCTGGTCTTGGTTCCAAGTTTAAACATCTCTTTGATAGAAATTGACTATTTAAGCAAACAGATTTTCATGTGTTTTTTACTCCATTTTGGAAATACTTGCATTTAAGGAAATTAGTATTCTCTTTACATTAGACAGCAAGTGACTTTTATTATGTGGAGGAGAATTTTGCATTACACTTTCTTTTCTCCAACCCAGTCACGTTTTATATCTTATACTCTCAACAAGGGACACTGGTTTCTCGCTCCCTGTCTCTTTTTTAGAAGTTTTTATTGAGGTACAATACACAATCAAAATTATACAAATCATAACCTATAGCTCAATGATTTTTCACAAATGATTTTTCACTTATGTAACCAGCACCACAGAAGCCCCCTCATAATCCCCTTCAGTTGCTATCCTCCCGAAGAGCAGCTACTATCCTGGTTTCTAATCCCATAGATTGATTTTGTTGCTACTTTAAAACTTTATATAAATGGAATTATAGAGAACGTACTTTCTTTCCTTTTTTTTCTTTTTTTTTTTCCGAGACAGAGTCTTGCTCTGTCACCCAGGCTGGAGTGCAGTGCGGTGGCACAATCTCAGCTCACTGCAACCTCCGCCTCCCGGGTTCAAGCGATTCTTCTGTCTTAGTGTCCGGAGTAGCTGGGGTTACAGGCATGCGCCACCACGCCCGGCTATTTTTTTTTTTTTTTTTTAATTTTTTAGTAGAGACGGGGTTTCACCATATTAGCCAGGCTCCTGGCTCTAGAACTCCTGGCCTCATGTGATCCACCATCCTCAGCCTCCCAAAGTGCTGAGATTACAGGGATGAGCCACTGTGTCTGGCCCAGAATGTACGTTTGTGTGTTTGCCCTTTTTTTCACTCAACATTATGTTTATGAGATTCACCAATGTTGTTTCTTATAGCTGTAGATGGTATGTTCTCATTACATTCATTCCATTGTGTGAATATACCATACTTTATCTATTATCCCATTGATGGACATTTGGATAGTTTCCAATTTGGTTTTATGAATGGAGTTTTTATGAACATTCACATACTTGTCTCTTGGTACACATGTGCGTACATTTGTGTGGGGCATTTATATAGGCATACATGGGTCATAAGGTTACATATGATTGTCTCTAACAGATAATAACAGTTTTCCTAGATGGTTGTGTCAGTTTACACTACTAAGCAGAAATTGTGAGTTCTAGATGCTTCATATCCTCTCACAACACTTGTTGTTGTCAGGTAAGAGTGTGTATTGTTATCTTGTGGATTTAATTTGCATTTTTCTCATGACCAGTGATGTTGAACACTTTTTCAGATGTTTATTCACAACTTGCTTATCCTCTTGTAAAGTGCCTGTTCAAGTCTTTTGCCAGTTATTTTTTTAAATTGGGTTTTCTGTCTTTGCCTTATTAGTTAGTAGGGTAAGAAAAAATATATATGCAAGTCCTTTGTCAGAAATTGCAAATATGTTCTCACACTCTATGCATTGCCTGTTTATTTCCCTAATAAGGTGTCATTTGATCAACAAAAGTTTTTAATTTTAATATAGATGACTTTATTTTAAAATTCCCTTTATGGTTAATATGGGAGGGTTTTTTGGTTTTGTTTAAGAAATATTTCCCTTCTTCAAGGTCATTAAGATAGTCTATGTTTTCATCTAAAAGCTTGCTATAGTTATGTATTTATTAATTTATTTTATCTTACACATTTAAATCTGCAGTATATCAGGAACTGATTTTGTGAGTAGTGCGAGGTAGGGGGTCAAGATTCTTTTGTTTTTCCATATGCATATGTAATTGACCCAGCACCATTTATTAAAGACCAACCTTTTTTCACTGTTCTTGATCATCTTTTAATAGGATAAAAGGAAAGCTTGTTAGAAGTGACTAAGTGATGGAAAATGGGTTTTTAAACATTTAGAGCTCATTAGTTTGTTTATTTATTTTTATTTTCAAGGTCCAAGAGGCTAAATGTCAGAATCCAGAATTTGAGAGAAATGTGGAGGTCAGTAAATTCAACATTAACTATTTGGGCTTAGACTTACAGCAGTTGGGGGTGGAGCATAGCATAAATATGAGCTGCTTTGAGAAAAACAAATTACTTTGTTCCATGAGTTATTGCCAATTTTTTGAAGTGTCAAAAATAATTTGAATTGCAATCCAAGTCTTAATCATAGACAGAATTTGGCAGATAATTATATTATGATTCAATAACAGTGAAAAAGAATAAGCTGGTAATATTCCTTGTGTATTTTTATTTTATGCCTAAGAATACATCTTGTTTCATGGTCCCTGGTGTTCTTCCTGATACTTTGAACACAGTCAGAATAAGAGTCAAAACAAATAAGTTATGCTATGAGGATGACAAACTCTGGAGTAATTGGAGCCAAGAAATGAGTATAGGTAAGAGAACAGAATTTTTATTAAAATGTAAAACATTGATGCATAAAAACTAAGCTGAAGCAGAAAATAGACCGGGGAAAGGGGCTGTCATGCTCTCTTGATGTGAGGAAAAGAGTACTTACAATTGAAATTTATTTTCTTTTTAATCACTTTCAAATCACCCAGGCAGGGTTAATTTACGTATACAGTTTTTTAGAAAACCATAATCCAAATGATTTTGTGTTCTTCTCTATCTCATTTCCATTTTTATTAACAAACTGAACAAAAATATAGAAAGCAGGCATAGGCTGCACACAGTGACTCACGCCTGTGATCCCAGCACTTTGAGAGGCTGAGACAGGAGGATCGCTTGAGCCCAGGAGTTGGAGACCAGCCTGAGCAACATGGTGAAACCCCATCTCTACAAAAAATACAAAAATTAACCGGATATAGTAGTGCACGCTTGTGGTCTCGGCTACCCAAGAGGCTGAGATGGGAAGATCTCTTGAGCCTGGGAGGAGGAGGTTGCAGTGAGCCTAGATTGTACCACTGCCCTCCAGCCTGGGTGACAGAGTAAGACCCTGTCTCAAAAAAAAAAAAAAAAAAAAAGGCAGGCATAATCAAATCTGCACATTGTACAGTACTAGAGACTGTCCTACAAGTGGTTGGCAGAAACAAGAGTGGAGCCATTTAATAGAGAGAAACCTGTATCTAAGTTTGAAAAAAAAATCATTTATTAATTGAAAGGCTGAGCAAGCTAGGCTCAAGTACTGGACTGGAAAGACCTGTGCTTTATGGATGTGTGTGTGGTGGGGTGGGATACAGGGCTTTATTTGACTGTAAGTGCAATGTGACTCAACATTGTAACCTTAAATGTGTCAAAAAGGCATATATAATCTTAGGAGTGATAAGTGGAGCACCCGGAAAGGAATGCTGCAGGTTGGGGCACAGAGCTATGGCCACATCAGAATTGTGCAGTATTCCATTCCAAGGCAACACATTAAAGGAGTTGCCTTGGCAGACCAGAATCTATCTTTGAAAGGGTAATCAGGATGTTGAAGAATCTCAAAACTTGGCAAGGAACAATTGGTAAAGTAACTTTGAGGAGTCATGATTGCTGATTTCTAATATTGGAGGTATTGTCAGGTACAAGAAGGAATAGGCTTTACTTTTTATGTCTCCAAGGGGCAACACAGAACCAACTTAAGAACTTTTTAAACAGCTGTATATGAGCCAAACAGGTTGTTGAGGTAGCCAATTCCCTATTAATTGAGAAGCTCAACAAGTTATGTGCCAGGCATGGTTGTATTAGTTTATTTATTGCTGCATAACAAATTACTCCAAAGTTTAATGGCTTAAACCAACATACATTTACCGTCTCACAGTTTCGGTAAGTCAGGAGTCTAGCCACAGCTTAGCTGGAGGTCTCATGAGGTTGTAGTCAGGCTGCAATGAGAACTGAAATCTGTCTGAAGGCTTGACTGGGGACAGAGAATCCATTTCCAAGTTCACTCATATAGTTGTTGGAAAGCCTCAGTACCTCACTGGTTGCTGGATGGAGGCTGTCACAGGTTGAATTGAATCTCCCAAAAAGATATATTCGTAGGTTTCAACCCCTGGTAAATGTGAATGTAACCTTATTTGGAAATAGGATTTTTGCAGATATAATCAAGTGAGGATGAGGTCATGCTGGATTAAAGTGGACCCTTCATCTAATGCCTAGTGTCCTTATAAAAAGAGCAGCCACACAGAGCACAGAGGCACACAGACACACAGGGAAGAAAGCCATGTGAAGATGGAGGCAGAGATTGCAGAGATGGAGCTACAACCAAGGAACACCAAGGATTCCCAGGAGCTACTAGAAGCTAGGAAGAGGCAAGGAGGGATTCTTCTCTAGAGCCCTCAGAGGGAGCATAGCCCTGCTGACACCTTCATTTTGGACTTCTGCCCTCCAAAACTGTGAGATAATACATTTCTGTTGTTTTAAGCCATTCAGTTTGTGGTAATTTGCTTCCCTTAGTTCCTTGCCACTTGGACCTCCCTATAGAGCTAATTCCTGACATGGAAACTGGCTTTCCCAAGTGAGTAATCCAAGCAGGAAACAGTGTGAGAGAACACCCAATATGGGAACCATGGTCTTTTATAATCTAACCTTAGAAATGACATCCCATTACTGCTGCTGTTCCGTTTTTTAGAAGTGAGTCAATTTGTCTAGCCCACGCTCAAGGAGAGGAGATTACACCAGGGTATGAATATCAGGAGGCAGGAATCATGTGGAGAAATCTTAGTGACTACCTAAAACAATGGTGCCAGGCCTTGATGATGCTTTCTAGATGTTCATGACCTAGTGGGAAAAATGAATATGCATGTAGACAAACGACAGTCTATATGTTAGATGTAGCAAGGCAGGCTTTGGAATTGCACAGTGTAACTGGAATTTGAGGCCTGACGCCATTATTTACTAAATCCTTCTGGATGACTTACTAAATCTCTCTGAGCCTTATCTTTCTCATCTGCTTAAATGGGAGATAATGCTATCATTATAGCATATATATGAGATAAGCATGCAAAACCACCCAGTATGGTATCAGACGTATGGTAGGTGCTTATTTAAGAATAATAGTAGTTGTTGTTAGGATTATTTTAGGTATTTTAGTAGTGGTAAGTAACCAGTAAAATATGTAGTCACTGTTAATGAGATGACATATTTAATATAGCATCTTTGTTAATAGTGTTTAAAACTAGTTAAGATCTTCCGATTTACCTGAGCGGGCGGGGAAACCCGCCCCATGAGGATCCCCTGGGCTCGCCCAGTGCACAGGGGAAGCGTCCCGTGGCTGGGCCCCTCTTGGTCAGCCCATGCAGCCGCCATGACCTGGAGCATCACAGCCGGGGGTGCCCACCAGCTCAATACCACCACATTCACGCGGCAGCGCTTCCCCGCCTGGCAACCGCTGCTGTTGGCCAGCATTACGCTGCAGCTCTTCTACGTGGGCCTGGCCTTCTATTACTCCTCCAACAGCATCAAGGAGCTGGAGTACAACTACACTGGCAGCCCGGGCACCAGCAACTGCTCGGTGTGAACTGCAGCTGGCCAGGGCTGTGCGCCACCGCCCACCTGCTCATGCGCCTGGTACTTCTCACTGCCTGAGCTCTTCCAGGGCCCCGTGTACCCCTACTACGTGCTGACCAACTTCTACCAAAACAACCGGTGGTATGGAATGTCCATGACAACGCGCAGCTGAGCAGGCTGCCCAGCACGCTGCACTACCCGGTCAATGAGTGCACCCACTGCGCCGCCTGCCCATTGCGCACCCTGCACCATCATTACCAACAGCCTCTTCAACGACTCCTCCTCGCTGTGACACCAGCGCCGGCCGGCGGGCCCTACGTGGAGGTGCCGCACTACCGCACTGCACCTGCATCGCCTGGTAGACCAACAACTATCCCATCAAGTTCTGCAACCCGCCACTGGTCAACGGCAGCCTGGCACTGGCCTTGCATGGCACGGCACTCCCGCCCAACTGGCACCGGCTGGTCTACGACGAGCTCAGCCCCATCCCCAACAACACTGGCTTCATCAACCAAGACTTCGTGGTGTGGATGCACATAGCAGCGCTGCCCTCATTCCGCAAGCTGTATGCAGACATCCACCGGGGCAACTACTCAGCTGGGCTACTACGGGGTGTCTACTGTGTCAACATCACCTACAACTACCCGATGCGTGCATTTGGCGGCCACAAGCTCCGCATCTTTAGCAGCATCTTGTGGATGGGTGGCAGGAACCCCTTCCTGGGCATCGCCTACCTGATCATCAGCTCCCTCTGCATCCTCACCGGCTTTGTCATGCTGATCATCTACATTTGCTACCAGGACCAACCAGAACGATGACGACAATGGGGAGGAGGGGTGATTCCAGCTTTCCAACGACCCTTCCTGCTTCTTGCCAAAACTGTTGCAAGCTTCTTTCAGCCTCCCCCCTTTGCCCCTCATCCTATTCCAACTTCTCCTCACTTTTCCTCCCTTTGTGAATGAGGGTACCAGAGGAGGGAATTACCCGCTTACTCTTGGGGGCTGCTAAACCTTGTTGCCTGGTGGTGGAGGGTTGACTGCAGAGTGAAACATCCTTGCAAACTCTCCCCACCTCCTTCATCCTACTGAGTTGCCATGTTAGGTTCTCCAAGTCAGAGAGTGGAAAGGATCCCTATAGAGACTCATTTTCAACCCCTACCAGAGGAAGAGATTGAGAGACCTAGCAACATGAAATAACTCAATCAAGATCAGGCAGCTGGCAAGTGGTTCCTGACGCTAAGGCTAAAGCTTTTGCCACTACAGTACAGTGGTTTTCTTTTCTTTGTGGGGAGGGTGGGTTGGGATGGAGAGAGACCCACAAATTATCTGCAGAGGCATGGAGGGGTGTGGGAGAACATATTTGTTAAATATGCAGATAGATGAGGAGTCACCAACCCGAGATTCTGACACAATAATGCTGGGGTGAGATGCTTGAAACTGTGTTTTAACAAACTCCTCTGGAGATTCTCGTATTCTCTCAAATTTGGAAATCACTACCCTGAACCAGGTTGGGCCTGAAGCAGTCACCTGAGTCCAGTTTTTCAGATAGTAATTTGTTCCCAGGGACAGTGACACCATAATGTTGCAGGTTTGGTCTGGCACTCTGCCTTAAATGACTTGTGTACGCTCTAATGACTTGTGGAATGAATTTTTTAAAAATCACTATCTCCGGGCTGGGTGCTGTGGCTCATGCCTGTAATCCCATCACTTTGGGAGGCTGAGGTGGGTGGATTACTTGAGGTCAGGAGTTCAAGACCACTCTGACCAACATGGTGAAACCTTGTCTCTACTGAAATATAAAAATAAGCTGGGCATGGTGGCAGACGCCTGTAGTTCTAGCTCCCGGGAGGCTGAGGCAGGAGAATCGCTTGAACCTGGGAGGCGGAAGTTGCAGTGAGCCGAGATTGCGCCCCTGCACTCCAGCCTGGGAGACAGAGTGAGACTGACTCTGTCTCAAAAAAATTAAATTAAAAAAAATCACTATCTCTGGAAAACTAGTTGGTGTACAGATTTGTAGGACAGGGTTTGTGTTGATTTATTTGATATTTTAGTATAAGCAAACAGGCAAACTTTACCAGATCCTGTGTAGAAACTTGAAAATGTGAGGCCAGTTTGTACATTTCAGAGGGAACTGTAGAATCAGATAGCTGGAAGGGATCTCTGAGGGAAAGTACTTTCCCTAGTCACATCTGTGTCTCCTGGCTCAGTCTTCTTCATCATTTAATTTGTGTGTTTGGGTGTGTGCACGCGCGCATGTGCGCACTTACAAAGGGCTTCATTCATACCTTTTCTCTTGGATCTGGAAAAAAATTTTTATGTTTTCCAATGAGATACGTTTGTTTGTAGTAATCATATTTGATTCAATACTAAGGCATATATAGTTTTATATGTAAACTAGAATCTTAAAATTATTTGAATCTTTGAGATAATGTTAAAAGTCTTAGCTAAAATCATTCCATTGATTTTATCAATTGACTAATATCAATGTTTAAAGTTATTCTAAGAAGGAATATTTTTATTTAAAAAAATCTTTCATGGCAAAATAGCTTAAAAGAACTTTTAAAAAAACCCTTTGTGATATGTTACCAGTTTATTTGCTAAAAGCAGTTATTTGGTATTTGTCAGACAGTATTATTCAGTGCCTGCTGTCTATTATAACTATTTTCCAGTTACTACTAATTCGTTTATAGTCCTTCCTTTAAAGCAGTGCAAGATCTTGAAGTTGTTTTTTTTTTAATCAGTTAAGAAATATCGAATTGTATTGAATAGTTTACATAGTTAAGTCTGTTCTAGTTCTTTGAAAGTTACTGAACAATGGACAATGTGCATGTCACTGACATCTGTCTCAGATCTTCTGGGACAATCATGATTTAAGACATTCTATGCCATTATTACATATGCCAAAAAAAACTTGGATAATTCCAATGTGTTGGCTTTCCAACTTCTGAACACTACATAATTTTACTATCAGTTTTTGAATAGTGATTTTAGGCTATGAAAACATTATTATATGTACATAGAGAAATTTTTATTTGTTATGAATGTTTGAGCTCACTAGCCCAGCCCTCCTCTATTTTGAATAAGAGAGTTTACTACATTTTTTTACTATGTAGTTGAAAACAACATGTATTTTGTCATTTTTAGAATGGTTAGTCTATTTCTATACAATTTTAAATGAGGCTGGGCACAGTAACTCATACCTGTAATCCCAGCACTTTGTGAGGCCGAGGCGGGCAGATCACTTGAGGTCAAGAGTTTGAGACCAGCCTGGCCAAAATAGGGAAACCCCATCTCTACTAAAAATACAAAAATTAACTAGGTGTGGTGGTGTGCACCTGTAGTCCCAGCTACTCGGGAGACTGAGGCAGGAGAATCGCTTGAACCGTGGAGGCAAAGGTTGCAGTGAGCTGAGATTGTGCTCTTGCACTCCAGCCTGGGTGACAGAGTGAGAGACTCTGTCTCAAAAAAACCAAAACAAACAAACAAAAGTTTAAATGAGACCATCAATTTTAAGGGATTCTGATTCAGATTAAATTAATCAATATGGTTCCAGGCCCTAGTCTCTGAGTTTTTGAAAGAGAATAAAGCTTATATTTGTCTTTTTAAAAATATCCTGATTTCAGGTAATCTTTTAGGTATTTGTTCACCCAGGGAAGTTCAGGCACCAGAGGAGGACTTTTTTTTTTTTTTTTTTTAACTATTAATTTAACAGAAGATAAGATAATTGAAGAGTTTGGGAAAATAGGTTGGGGGAGGGAGCAGAAATATTTGTGATCTTACTAGCTAATGGAATTGCTGCTTGGTTTATTACTAAAAGGGTTTTATTTCTCAAGTCTTTCTTCTGTTTGCTTTTCATTCTCCAGGTAAGAAGCGCAATTCCACACTCTACATAACCATGTTACTCATTGTTCCAGTCATCGTCGCAGGTGCAATCATAGTACTTCTGCTTTACCTAAAAAGGTAAGGTAGCTGCCCAGGCAGGTTTTGCAGTTTCTGATTGCCTGTTTGCTATGGTTATTACTCTTAGTGCTTGTGTTTTATGTCTGCCCAGTGTATAAGAAGCATGTTGCCTGTAAGTAGCTTTTGGGAGCATGACATGACAAGGAAGTATTACTGTGCCCACTTTCTTTTCCTTTTCTTTTTTCTTTTCTTTTCTCTTCTTTCTTTTCTTTCTTTTTCTTTTTTTTTTTTTTTTTTCCTGAGATGGAGTCTCTGTTGCCCAGGCTGGAGTGCAGTGCGGTGGTGTGATCTTGGCTCACTGCAGCCTCCGCCTCCTGGGTTCAAGCAATTCTGGTGCCTCAGCCTCCCGAGTAGCTGGGATTAGAGGTGCCCACCATCACGCCCGGCTAATTTTTTGTGTTTTTAGTAGACAGGGTTTCACCATGTTGGCCAGACTGGTCTCAAATTTCTGACCTCAAGTGATCCACCCTCCCAGCCTCCCAAAGTGCTGGTATTACAGGCATGAGCCACTACACCTGGCCACTATGCCCACTTTCTAATGAAAAATGTGTTGGATTAGTTTTCCAGGGCTCCCTGCTCAAGCATGGCTCCCTTTGCATGTGTTTAGGATTGTTGAATAGGTCCTATGTTCACTTAATACTCTTTCAAATACCTAATCTATCAAGTTAGTCAGTAGTTCTTGGAATGAAGTTTTAGAAATGGAGACCATTACTAATAAAATGACTGTCTAGTATTAATACAAAGCAGGCTACTACTTAATATTGTGGGAAAGAGAACTTCATCAAGTTGTCATGAATGTATGGTATCCATTCCTTGAGAAGGTATTATTTTCTCTATCTCATTATAGGACTGTTATTTGCTCTTGCAGTAAATAACTAAGGTTGGAATAAGGTTATTAAGCTAGATCCAGAACCAATATTTTATCATTATTTCAACATATATATATATTTTTTGAGTGCCTAATTGTGAACCAGGCAGTGTTCTAAGTGCTAAAGTTACAGCAGTAAACAGGACAAAGTCCCCATTTGCATTCTAGAGGGAAAGATACACACACACACATACACACAGACACACAAAATAAATAATAAATACTATGATTTCACATAGAAGTATAAGTGACAGTAGCGGGGTACGGCTAGGGAGGTGCATTTTACGTAGGATGGCCAGAGGACTCCTCTCTGAGGAAGTGGCATTTGAGGAGAGACTCCCAATAATGTAAAGGAGTGAGTCATTCAGATATTCAAGGAAAGAGCACTCCAGGCCACGGGAACAGCAAATGCCAAGTCCCCAAGGCTGAAATGCACTTGGTTTGTTTGGCTGGAGTGGAGAGTGCAAGGTGGAGAGTAGCAGCGAGTGAGGACAGAGGTTGGCCAACCAGATCACGCAGGCCATGGCAAGGAACTGCGATTTTATTCTAAGCATGATGAGGAGCATTGGAGAGTTTTGAGCAGAGTTGGCACATGATCTGAATTACTGTCATAAAGATCATTGTAGTTGCTGAGTGAAGAACTGACTTGGGCAAAAGTGGAGGCAGATGGAGTAGTTCAGAGGAATTGCAGTGTTTTGGCAGAAAGATGAGGATAACCTATACTACGGGGTTAGCAGTGGAGACAGCAAGAAGTGGTCAGAAATAGTATATATTTTGAGAGTAGAATTGGTAAGACTTGCTGATAGCTGCCTGTCTGTGGAGGTATGAGGGTAATTGAGGATTCAGAGATACCTCTTAGATTTTTGGCTTGAGCAACTGAGTGAATGCTGGTGCCATTTACTGAGACAGAGAAGACTGTGAGGAAAGCTGGGTTTGAGGAAAGATAAGGACTTCAGTTTTGCACATGTTAAGTTTGAGATGCTTATTAGAT